GCCAATTCCTCTTTCCTTGTGTCTCTGTTAAAATAAATCAACCCCAAACTTCTTGGCTTTCATAAATGGCAGGCCTGATTCATGCATGATTTATAAATTAAAGCTGCGGACCATTAAGATAGATTTCTCAGCTTTAGGTAGGCTATAATGGTGTTATATAATGTGGTTTTGAATTTCTAAAGAAGCAAAATACGTAGTAGTTGACAACCCAAGCCATTCAAGTTCCATTTGGTCTTATGGAAGGCTTCTCTTTTTTTTTTAAGTGGGATTTTTTTCATTCCATTTTCTTCCCCTTTTGGAGCTTTGCCCTGTTAAAAATCTTTACTTCTAAATATGAGCAGTCAGGGGTTCTTAATGCCACCCTTTACTCTATGGAAAGGGTTATTTTTGTCTAGAGAACATCTTACTTCTGAAGAAAGATGAGTAGCTTTTTCTTAAAACAGTGCTAACGGAGAGAAACAGTTTGGAATCTAACCTGTTGCCACTGACTTAGTATTGACTTAGTATGCACAGTAAGACTGTGAAGTTTTGCAGATGTCAGGGCTGGGGAGTGATCATTTGTTCTAATGAGGGAAAAAACTTGTATATAACGCTGTCTTAAGAGCACACTGCACCTGAAGGGAAGATTAGATTTTACTGTTTTTGTTGCTATCTTGACAGCCTTTCTTTGGATCCTCCAATAGAAGAGAGACTAGGATTTAAAGGCTGGTGCCAGAAAGCAAAAGCTAACATGAAAAGAATCCAAGTCTCTGTCCAATCTGTGAGAATCTGCAACGGTTCATGGACAAGGAATAAAGCAATTAAGGCAATGTCAGGGTTATACAGAAGAACATATTTCAACCCATGAAATTTTGGTTTGAGGGAAAATGTGGGAGGGTTATTAGGATTCTCGCAGGCTGAGCTTGAGAAAAACCATTGGAAATGGTAAGAAGAGAGGACTTTCTTATATCTCTTTTTCTTCCCTAAGGCTTGTAAAAGCATAAAAACACAAGATTCCAAGCCTGTCTGACCATACCTGATACCATCATCTTTTATATGGCCTACCCTTAGATGATCTAACTAGCCCTGGTCCCTGTGCAAGCACTCTTCTGAGACACGTGTCCACACTGTGGCGGATTCGCAGACCGAGAATCACTGGTTGGATTATCTAAGTTTCCCAGCACACGCAAGAATAAAGTAATGAGCTTGACCTTCTCCTTCCCGAGTCTTTATCAATTCTGCTTTAAAAGGAGGATGCATTTTTAGGTTAAAAAACATATATATATATATTCAATTGTTTGAATTTTTAAGTTTTTCTCTTTCAAACCAAAACCAAGACAGTATTTTAAAGAATTGTAGAGTACCAGGGTGGTGAGGAAGGGCGTGAACAAGCAAACCAACCTGCCTGGTCTGCTTTCTTCTTCTTAAAGTACTCAGTAATATGATCATTTTGGAATAAATAACTGAGCACTATCTACCCTTTGGGAAATTCTGGTTTTCTGTTTCTTTAATCGTGGCTACTTTGTTCAGAATGTGTAGGCAGTGCCATTCCGGCCAAAGAAACCTGATCAAATTTCTTTCTTTCCCATCTTATTTGTATTCTTTGTGAAAAGCCCAAGCAGTTGTTCTAAACAAGTCTGGCCACTCGTTAAAGTTTAAACTAGTAGTGAGATCCATCCACAGTGAAGTGTTTTCTGACACCCTCTGCTGCTCCTGGCCTAGGGTACTAAGAGTATTAGACGCCGGAAGCAGCCAATTTTGTAGTGTCTTTTAATACACAATATTGTATTAACATCAACATGGATACAGATGGATGCACTGCAATAAACTGTAACCACTTGAGAAAAGCCTTTATTGACTCTCAAGTAAATAATGCACATTTTAAAGGATCTAAATATGCATTTACATAATGTGCTATAATTTTTTATTGTGTCAACTACTCACACACACATCCATAAGACATGTTTTTCTTCGTCAAAAATCTGGACTCATACCATCTCTGTGTATTCCATTAGCATCATGCCAGATCCATAATGGTAGTTTCTCTCTTCTGTAGGGCCTGGTCTGGCCATCTCAAAGTACATTAAATGAATTTTACTGCTTGATTGATTTAACCTCAATGACTCTAAGATAACTTGAGACAACTAAAATAAAAAAATTTAAAAAAGTAGGTACATTAAAAATATTGAATCCAAGAGAAAGAGAGAAAACAAGAAATAGGAAAAAAGAAAAACAAAGTTAGGCATTGATGAAATCTTAACTCTGAGTTTCAGTGACTAGCTTTGTCCAGTAGAAGAGGAATAGCAGGTTATCCAGAGAAATAGCATATATTTAATAATAATTAACAGAGCTTTGTGATATCTGTAACACAACTATTTTCTGTTTGAAGAAATTAAAGCTCAGGATCTTGAATGATTTGTATCCAGTTCCGCAGTGAACTGATGACCGAACCAGAAATTTCTAAGCGTAAGAAAATAGGGGTTGTGAAGGATGACCCTTTATAGTGCAGACTCAGCAATTGTCTAATTTGAAACTACAGGCTAAATGATTTCCTGGTATTAATTAAGAATTAATTGATCCTTATAAATCTGTCATTGTAGAATTAATTCCACAGAGTACCATATGTTCTTAGGTTTGTGTTAAAATAAACTCTATGCCACAAGAAAAAGGTGAATAAATTGTTTTTAGTAAAATATAATAAACTAAGATCTCAATTTAAATTGCTCATTATTTTGTTTTACATATTTAACAACAACAAAATAAGGGCAAGGATGTTTCTTAACAATAAGAAAGTGCCATGGTCCTATTGAATTACATCACATTTCATTAACTTTTATCTGCCTAATCTCTGCTAAGTGACTGTTTTCCTGGGCAACATTCTCTGGCCACCATGGTTTCATAATCCAACAATTGCTCATCACTTTCGTTGAGCACCTGAGGGAATGCCACTTTGTCATCAAAGTCAACCTCCCACAGGCTTTCGACAGTGAAGTTGCCACCTTGGTGTTTGACATGCTGGGAAAGTCGAGTGTGTCACTTTGTTAGGCTCAGTATATTTCCAGGCTAGCTTGGCAAATACATTCTATCCTTAACTAGAAGCTGTTCTATCAGGGTACTGGGTCAAAGTTTCTTGCTACCAGCAAGGATGACTATACCATATTTGGCGCTTTAAAGCCAAATATGGCTTGTGGATTTTAATTCGGTGATGATCCGCAGATCCCAAGTTTATCTTTCATTGTGTGAAGTCTTTAAGTATGACCAGTTTTTCTACAAGCTCCCTGGCTCTTTGCCAGGTGGAAAAATCAAGTCTTGTTTTTTTGCAACTTTTATTCTATATTTATTTGTATGGTTATTTTATTAATTTCTGTACCACCTATTCAGTAACTCCTGTATGCTCAACAAATATGTGTTGAGTACCAGACTGGGTTCTGGGGATATGACAGTGGAGATGGGAAAGTTGTTTACTAAGATGGGAGGCCTAGGAGAAGTGTAAATTTGAGAAGGGAAGGTGACGAAAACTCTGCTCCAAATAGGTTATATTCTAGATGCCCTCAATCACTCAAACAAAGCTTAATCTGTTTAGGCTCAACTTTGTCTCTCAAACCCATAGTAGGAGCTCATGAACATTTATTGGATAGATTAAAAGTTGGGAGAATGAAAGGGTTCCATAAGGTCATCTGCAAGACGTGGACTGGAGTGTTGCTTCCACTCCAAACTCCCATTTCCACTCTTTAAAATCTACAGATGCCACTTTGAACCACACAGTACTAGCCATCTCAATCATTAGTCAGAAAATGCCCAGGAGATCCAAGTAGAGAACAAAGAACGCCTGCCCAGCAGCTAATGGGGATATATATTTTTTAATATCCCCCAGCCATGCTAGTGGGATAGTGGCAGAAAGGGTGGCTTGTCTTACCGGGCTTCTCTTCAGTATTGCAAGTCATTCTTGGTATTGGAAAAGTCTTATTTCCCAAAAATTTGGGCATTCTTGTATTTTCTATTTTCGGGGGCTCCTTGAGTTTAAGGATTTAAATTGCAAAAAGTAAAGGAAAAATGAATACTCTCATCTCTTTGGTTAGGGAAAGATTTCTCTGGCCCTTAATAAGAAGCAAGAGCTGCTATCTTGGCTTGACTTGGTTTGAATATCTGCAACCTTTTCCATGTGCTGCTTTTATCCTCCAGCTGATTTTATCAATCACCCTTCCAATTCAAGGGCAAAAGTTCTCTTAGAAAAATTATTAAGCGCTTCACATAAGTGTTTTTCGTAATCTAATGTAATCTTCTTGTACAAATGAAATTTATCAGGGTTCAAATATAAGGGAGTAGTAGTTGTCTGAGTCTTTTATCAGCTTTTGTGGGCAGAGGGCCAACACTTTAGCAGGGGTCATTGCCGGCTTACCCCGTGGGCCCCCCTGCTCTGTGCATTTCTGAGTTTGGCTTTGAAATGGCATCTAAAGGCGACATAAACCTTCCATGTAAAGTGAGGCACCCAAATTGCATGGGTTCATTAAGTGATCATTTACTACATACTTCAAAAAAATTTCATCCTGAATTAGTCCCTAGAAATTTCCTTGAAAGGGGTATAAGAGCTTTAACAATGAATTATTGTCTATGGATAGCTCAGCATGAAAGCGGATCCATATGTGCAAACTAGAATATGTCATATGTAATGTCAGTTAAATCAGGTCTAATCTACCAAATACATTTTTTATTGCTTGCTTCATTAAAAAGGCTCTTAAGGTAATGAATAATCTTCAGCTTCACCAAAGATTATTAATGCCTTTATAACTCATGTCCACTGAATATAGAAAGACAGCCTGAAACTCTACCCTAATCTAACCTCCATGTTTGTCTTAGAGCCTTAAGGAAGAGAATCCATCAGACCTATCCAGTGTTAGATTCAGTCACATGAGCAAGCCTGTGGATGGGGCCAGAAGACATAAAAAAGGAAGTTGAATCAAGTTCAGCTGTGGCAAATCGAGTCGTTCTCTTCCTAACCCTGATGTTTTCTTTTCCCACAGCAAGTCCACATGCAACACCATCGACTCTTCATTTCCCGACATCACCCATTATCCAGCAGCCTGGGCCTTACTTCTCACACCCGGCCATCCGCTATCACCCTCAGGAGACGCTGAAAGAGTTTGTCCAACTTGTCTGCCCTGATGCTGGTCAGCAGGCTGGACAGGTGGGGTTCCTCAATGTAAGGAAACCTCTTTTTTTTTTCAATTTCTTTAGAAATATTAGCCGAACATAAAAATAACAAGGGGAGCCCTTATGACCATGTGACATTGTGCTCTAATGTTGTGCTGACTAACTGCAGGCAAATGTCATATTTATTCTAGATTGTGGGAAAGTTAACTTGCTCTAAGAGTGATTGGTCAGGGTTTAAAAACAGTGTTTGTGTTAAGTTTGCAACTGTCAAGTTTATGGATATAAATCAGCTCAAGGGTGAACTATATAACCTTCTGAGTTCTGTGGGCTGATAATTCCACCTCATGCATTCTAACCCTAGGGCTCCTACAGTTAACAAAATAGAAAGACCAAATAACTTTAAATAATGATTTGGGGTGGTAGAAAGAGGTAGGGAGATGAAGGGGACAGATGTTTCAGATCAACTAAGTTGATATTTTTAAAAAATACAGCCTTCTAACACTTTAGATCAAGTTGACCAGTACTTGAACTCAAGATGCTAGAAGTACAGTTTATTATGGTTTGTTATTTCTGCAAGTCATTATCTTTCCCACTTATCTTTGTATAAAACTAAGCAGTATTCAATAGCTCCAAATGAATGTTTTTGTTTTTCCTCAATTAAACCAAATAATCACAACTTGGAATAACATTCCAAATGTAAAAGCGATTTTTAAAAATCAGAAATTTTATTTCAAATATAGAACTAAATGTTTACAATGGATAGCTGTATCCCAAGTCCAATAGTAATAATAAGTAACCACTAGGATAAAGTCCAATTTGGTTTTCCTTTTCTCCTAATAACTGAACAGGAAGCCACAGATTAGCTATAATTATTACTGCCTGATTCAGGATATATGTCACACTGTCCTGTCACTGATTTTCTTCCCTTGCAGAAATACCTGATTCTGCATATCTGCGCCAGAACAGGCAGCTTTGACTAATGTCTGGTGATGTGTTAGCAGATACATTTCTGTCTAGACAACAAATCAATATGGTGCCTTTTTCCTTCTTGCTTGTACGTTCATATGCTTGGCTTATTCTAAAGCATTCACTTATGGACTTTCAGCCCACTCAGAAATAACACACAGGCAAGTTTGCTGGCAAGAAAGCACAACATTCTGATTGTCAGACGAGGTAGTCGTTGAGGAATAATACTAAATATATAAGTGAATGTTGATGGGGGAGTGAAACCGCCTCTGCAGAATCATTAAGCTTAAACGTAAAAGCCTGGGACAGCAGAATCTCCTTCAACCAAATTTTAACTGGGTCTACACCCTAAATATGAGCTGTTAGTGTTGGTTGAATGGTGTCATTGAAGTCTGGAAACTCGGTCAGAAAGGCCACTTGGGAAACACCAGAAAAAACTGAGCTGATCACCAGCATCTGCCTTCTAAATTTTTAACTTTTTAAAGAAAATAGTCTTGACATTGACCTATATAACTGTCAAATGCCCAGTTTTGCATTTTGATCAAAATTGTATAGGGCTTAAGGCAAGTTTCTTCATGGAACTGTTTTAAAGAACTTGAAAATAAAATAGATTTTATTTCTCTCTTTAGAGGGAAACTTTTTTTGTTAAAGGGCTGTTACTGGTTGTTTTAATATCAGGCAGCCAAATAAATATGACTCTTATGGCATATGCTTATATAATTTAAATCAAAATTAGAAGTGATATTTTTCCCTAGCAGGATTCTGACGGCTGAATTTGAAAGTTTTTGTGCCTGATGTTATACAATATGTGAAAGAAATTTTTTATGTTCACTTAACACATTTATTAAATGTTATATAATATCAATTTGGAAGAGTGAAAATAAAATATTATTTTTTTATTTCAAAAGCATATTCAGGAAACTTCATTATGTCTAGGTAAATAAACATAGTAGAATAATACCATACTCCATAAAACACTGTGCTATTAAATACATATTTAGTGATAAATACACTAAAAGCCCTGACTTCAGCACAGTGTAATATAGCAATGTAACAAAATTACACTTGCACCCCACAAATTTATAGAAGTAAAAAAATAAATGTTGAATAATCATGAGCATGATGATGAAGGTAGCAGTTCATACAGAACCAAAGCATTACAAGCAAAATTAGGTTACTCAGGTGACAAATCCAGAGTGATCATTGGTAGGTGATTTTATGAAATCGATGCAAAGAGGGACAGTGGGGTTCAAGAGATAAGTTTAGGATGCATTGAGCATGTGTGCTGTGATATGCTTTTGTGGAATGCCTTAAGAACAGAACCCAACAATTGTTTATTTATATGGACTTATGGAAGAATTGAAGCATCTAGACTACTTAATAATTTACATAAAAGGTACCTAATGAATCTTTTGCTTTCAGAAGTGGCTAATGATTGATGTCTCTTTCTTCTTTTCTTGCATGTGTTTTTCTTTTCCTCACCCTTACAGCCCAATGGGAGTAGCCAAGGCAAGGTGCACAACCCATTCCTTCCCACCCCAATGTTGCCACCGCCGCCGCCACCACCGATGGCCAGGCCTGTGCCTCTGCCGGTGCCAGACACGAAGCCTCCGACCACGTCAACAGAAGGAGGTGCAGCCTCCCCAACCTCACCAAGTAAGTATGGCTGAGACAAGGCGCCGGTCACTTCTGAAGCCGTATGCACTTGAATCCACACGTAAGCTTTGTCCCTCATCATGTGCAGGCTCTAGAGAGAAGCACAGATCCCCAGTGGTGGTTGTAGCATGAGTTTGCAGAGCTGAGGCCAGAATCAAAGTGAACACTGCTCTAGGGTGCTACCAGCTACACCAGATGTGGAAATGACTGGGTGTTTGGGTGGATGACATGGTTTAACTACATGCACAAGACCAAAATCAAGATATGAGCTATTACATTTTGCATATTGTTTGAGTGCCTTTGAATTCTATTTCCATGATCATCTGACAGCATCTGCTTGTATAACTTCTGGTTAGCAAAAAGTTCCTCATTCTTCTGGATAGCTCTACCTTCCAGGGACTTGCAGTCCAAGAGAAATGCACTTGATGAGATATAAAAATTATATATCTCATACATTAAATTAAAAAAAAAATCTAGATCAAAGTATCAATTCAAAGGTGTGCAGTACGTTGAACATTCGCCAAGAGTAAGCGTCTGGCAGAAGATCAGAGTCAATAGCCCTGGTGATTGCATGGCTGGGCTTGGTGGGTGGGCGGGGGTAGGGGAGGGAGACAGAGGGTGGAATTGGATGGAAAGAGAAAATAACTCTTAGCTCTTCTCTGAACAGTCTGGGAACATTTGATCAGAGAATATAGGATTTCAAAACCTTTTTAGATGATGGGAATGATTACTTGAACGAGAGAGAGAACAATTCTCCAGATATTTCCTGATGTTTTAGAGATGGCAAGGGGATAGAAATAGCTTGAACACACAAATGTGGCTTTTATTAGTGCCTGGAATCATGACAAAAAGAGTGATGGCTGGAATTCCCAGGGGAGGGATGGCCCAGCCTTGATAGACGGTGTGATGAGCTCCTTCCTAAAGCTGCAGAGAGGCATCAAAGTGTAGGAACGGCCAGGAACTGGGGCAGTGAGCCTTCAAGGGAGTCGTCAAAGGAGCGAAGACTGGAGGCAAGGAACCTACTGAGGAAAAGATGTTAAGAGCCAACCAGGAAAGGAGAATTAAGGTCATGAATTTGAACCACAGTAATGTTAATAGGAGCTGAATAGAAGAAAGCCTTGGGTGGAGGAGGGGGTTGTAGACATAAGCTTTGGGATTGGACAATATCTAGATGAGTATAGCGAGCAAAGATTCTGGGCCTCTCAGCTTCCTTGCGTTCAGTATTGGAATCTAATGATAATGGATACAAGAGGGAAAGGGGCAAAGGGGAGAAGTGAGCCTCTGTTCATACCATGTTCACTGAATTTGGTTCTGGGGACACTTAATCCAAACTGGCTAGAGTCCCTCCTGGGCACATATCAGAAATGAGCTTTGGACTATCTAGTATGTATGCATTTGGATAATACGTGCACAAGTAAGCAGTGTTGTATGTGGATTCTGTATCTATAGCAAAAAGATTGAGGGTCTGGGAGCAATTTGGGGGAGATCTGCTTCTCTTGATTAAAAGCGGTTCAACACTTGTCAACAAGAGGAGAAAACACCGAGTGTCTGGTGACACAGGAAGCAAGCAGGGCTTGGCCTGTGGATCTTGGAAGCTCAGCTTAGAAAAATAGCTTCTGAGACGCAGAGGCTCATGGGAGTGCCCTGCTTATTGTGTATTTATGTAACATCTTTGAACAGGACAGATAAATAACTGTCCCCAAACTCTACTTAGGTCTACTCTCTGAGGATGCTGGCTTACAGATTGATAGCCACATGGATAACATGCCCTGTGCATGCCTCTGCAGACCATTTCTCTGCTCCTCTTCTGTCTGTACAGGACGTTGCCACAGTCCTTCAAAAGCTGTGTAGTAATATACCACCTGTTCCACGGGAACATACCCTTGCGCCTGCTCTCGGTGTCTCATGCTTCAGAGTGAGATTTTCAGTAACGGGGATGAGGCTCAGCTGAGGCACCGTGGAAGCGTGGAAACAGCAGCATGCAGCTATTGAAGTCTAAAGGACAGGGGCCTAAATGCTCACCTTCCAACTGGCTGTGTTTCTCTTTGAAACAATTTCCTCACCTGTAAAACGTGGATGATAATACCTACAAGGCAGGGTTGTGTGAGATCAGCTCTGATAATTGGAGTGTTTTATTACCTGCCAAAACTCCCTCCTAGTGGGATTCTCAAGGCACAGGTAATGACGAAATATGTCTGCAGGACATGGAGACACTATTTGGCCCTTAAATCAGGTTGATGCCTTTGGGTCCATAGTTCTGGACTCCACTCCATGGATTGAACCAAATGCTTGGATAAGAAGGTCTCTGTCATCCTCTCGTGTCCAGCCTCGGGCATCTTGTCAGCACCATGGGAAGAGCAGGAGAGGGAACTGTGGCAGATCCAACTCATGTGGCCACGTGTCAGTTAGAGCAGTGTTTAAAGTTTGGGGGTAAAAGAGAATATTGGGAGAAAGAGTCTTGAAATTTGGTGTAGATAATTTGACACTTCTTGAATCATGGGGTTCTAGGAATGTAGACAAAACAAGATGTTCTGCTGATGGCACAGAGGGGCTTTTATCATCATATGTTTTAGCCCTTGTTGCTGGGCTTTTCTAGGACGTGCTGAATTCCTGGTAATATGTTGTTTCACAGCATTGTATTGTTTACCATTTTCTGCTTTATTAATAAGGCAGTGACAGGCTGGGAGAGCTGTCACTTTATAGCATAGGAGAAGTCTTTCAAATTAAAAACCTCAAAGCCCACTGGTCTCCATTGGGTGGGGATTTAAAGGCCCCCCCCATCAAAAAAAAGTTCTCTCCCATGCCCCGATTTCAAAATCAATTAATAAATAAAATGCAAGAAGAAATCAGATGGAAGACAGAATGCCACCTTTGCTATTAGAGTATTTAGTTTACAACTGTGGGCAATTGCACCAACATACCTACCCAGTCATTGGCACTGCTGGACCACCGCGGGCCTTCCCACTTAGCGTCTGCTCTCACCTGCAAAGCTGATGGCACATGCGTGCAGAGGGCTGTGTGCTTCCCGCCAGCACCTGTCTCCCAAAGAGAAACAGGTGAGGAATGGGCAAGACTAATCATGTCCAGTTTCTACTTTAAAGCTCTACAACCTAGAGAATAGCAAGTGAGGGGTGGAGAGAAGCCAAGGGTGTTTGGAAGGGAATAAATATCAGGAGTAAAGTAGCTTCCCTCTTCCTTAACATTCATCTTTGATGACTGCCTCCCTTCACTCATTTATTCAGCCATCCTTTATTAAGCACCTAGCATGTGCCAAGGCCGTGTTAGCAGCGTGGGATCCAGAAATGATTAATCCCTGCTCTAAAGAAACAGAGATTAACTGAGGGATACAACTGATCAACAGGCAGTTTATACAGGATAACACCAGGAAGACCTGTGCATAGGTGCTACTGGGAGACGTGTGGGGCTTCAGGTAAAGAGTTTTTAGAGGGGTTGACATCTAAGCTATTTAGTAGGAATAACCTTTGGTATTTTAAGAAAAGGTAGAACTTTTCTTGAGAAACCAGCTGGGGGGTGGTGGTCTAAAATTGGATTACTAGTGGATTAAAAATTTAGGGGAAAACTGCAGTTCCTTATATCATGTGCTTTCTTAGAAATTAAAACCACAGCATGGGTGGATCCTGTTTATCTTTGTCAGTTTATTAGAGCTCAACTTCAGCAAGAAACATCATAACAGGGTATTAAGTACAGATGCTCAACATCCCAACAATATGTCCAACATTGAGGCTTTAAAAAAAAAAGGCTAATTGTATTACCTAGGACAGCCTTTTCTATTTAGGGTTTGAGATGATTTGCAATAAAATAAGATTTTAAAGAATAAATATAGGAGATCATGCCAAGAGTCTTCTATATTACCAACTTTTCTGGACCTTCACTCCCTTATCTGTTAATGGGAATAACACTAACTGCTCTACCCACTCTCATAGGCAGATTGTCAGGACAAACAGGGGTGACAGATATGCTGTGCTGTAGACAGTTGAAAGTCCAAGGCATCATTTTTAATATCCTTTTATAATGAAATACAAATGGATGCCTGCCTAGAGCAGAGTATGTATTTTTTAACTAATCAGTTGCCTCTGGCACTAATACTAAACTTTGCAGCTGTGGCCAGAAAAACAGGGAGAAGGCAGATCTGGAAAGAAATTTGCCTATGAAATAAATACATTTTAATGGGAAAAATCCTTACTAATGCCCTAAAAAACAGGGAAGTGGGGGTAGGGATAACAGTTCTGCTCTCTCTCTGGGAGAACTTTTATACCAGGGGTCCTCAAACTACAGCCTGTGGGCCACATGCAGCCCGCTGAGAACATTTATCTGGTCCGCCGCGTGTTTTTGCCACCGCTGCCTGTCCTGCTTAGCAGCCGACTTGTCCCAGACCCACAGTGCTCATGTGTGGAATGTGTGCCACACTTTCCAATGGCCCTCCGATGGTCTGAGGGACAGTGAACTGGCCCCCTATTTAACCCTTTGCACTCAGATGTCGAGTGTGACTCAACACAGTTAGCAAAAATTATAGAGATTAAAATTACTCTTTGAATATGTCAATAATTTGAAATATTAAAAAATCCAAATAAATAAGTTTGTATGAAAAGAAACTTCAGTTTTTTATTCTACTGTTGTGCTTTGTAAAATCTGGGGTATTTAAAAAATTAAATCCCAAGTAGAATAAAGGAATCAAGAAAAAAAAGCAAGTGGGTGCAAAGGGTTAAAAAGTTTGAGGACCCCTGTTTTATACTGTCGATCTGTTTGGAGAAGGATTGATACACTGTGCCAGATCTCTTTAGGTACCGTGACAAATGGAAGGCATAACCTGTAAGAGCAGCTCACAGCCCATGTGCTCCATTCCCATGGATTAACTACCTTTGCGGGTTTCCATACCCGATAAGGGAGCACCACTTATTTCATCCATTCAATATTTATTGAGCATCATCTATGTACAAGCACCTCTTGTAGGTGCTGGGATTCAACAGGGAATAAAAGAG